ACGGTGTCGCCCCGATGAAGCGCGTGAACTGGTACAAGATGATGCACAAGCAGCTCACGCAGATCATGGAAGAAGACTTCAAAAGCAGCAGTTCTGTCACCGTTTCCGATAACGCCCAAGAGCCGCCACTACCTTTGCCATGTGTAGTTGCAGCTCAATGATTGGGTAATCGTTTCGGGCGTTCAAAAGCGGCGCTAGCGCTCCTAAAAGGAGTACTCCCTCTATCGAGGTGAGCAAAAGAAAAGTTACCAGACTTCTTACTACTGAGAAGACTGTTCGCAGGGCGATGCAAATTGCTTCCTCTGTCCCAAGGCGCGCCGAGGCACGGATATTAAACGTGTTTTCAAGTGTGGCACGACGCCTTCGGGTGTGACGCGTCGACTCCGAGTCACCTAGGAAAACGTGTCGCTCTGCGCCGTGCCCCCAAGACCGCAGGGGTGCACAGGAAGTCAGGCCCAAACATTTTGGATGAGGAGAAAGACGAGAGCTAGTGGGTCTTCCGTACGGTCTCCAGCAATGCTTGCTAATGCATTTTGTTGGGTTTCATATGATTACTGTGTTGTGTAGTTCCGGATATGACTATGTTTGTAGGTTGTATACCGATCACATAAGGTCGACTAAGTTGTAAATGCGAGCTTGTAAATTAATTATACTGATGCTGACTAAATACTCTGTACTCAATTGCTTCTGCAAGTTATAAGGACTAAAATAATAGATATACAGCTGTTTTGTTGTAAAAATATTATAATTTTTCTGAGTGTAAGGTTACTGCCAAATCGTAGTACATGTACAGCAGAAGCTGGCCGTATGTCGTAAGTGTTACTGATGCTGAGGTGCGTCTTAAGTGTTACGACGTAGAAATCGAAAACCCTCTATTTTCTTATAGTCCCATCTCAATGATCAGCCGAGTGAAAAAGACGGCTATATACAAACATCTAAATAATGTTAAGCTGTAAGCTACGACGTAAAATAAGGTGTGCGTGGTCCGAATTCGCGGTAATAAAGGGGCAATCTACTAGAGCTAATGTTCGCCGCCCAAAGTGTCATACGGGAGTGTCATATGCACTTTCTAAATTTAGCTTTAAGTATAAATAGTGCACAAGCAAAATGTCGATGATTCCTGATGTACGTCAAAGAGTTACGTGAGAGAGCATTTTGAAGGGACGGTGGTGGGCACAATGTACGTATTTCATCTATCGAAGGCCTTGACATATCAGCCCTTATGGCGGTTTTGGGCGGCGTCCTCTTAACTACAAACGGCACAGTACTCAAGTACCGGTGGTATCAAGAATGGCTTGACTTTGAAATAGGTAAGTCGCTGGTGCTTATGTTACGAAAGCAGTGTCTTATTGGCTAAAATAACATCGAGTCACTGATAAATTAGGTAGAAGGACTGCGTGGGCATCAGGGGCTTCACCAAACTGAGGTAATTCCAACAACTTAATACCCATCTATTAAAAAGTGTTACGCTATTTTGGAGGGCCATCCAAAGCACCGATTATCTTGAGGGTCGCACGATAAGTGAAATGATTTGCAATGCTTATTTAGAAAGGTTCACCATAAAAAAGGAGCTGCACACCACACTAAAAATATGGGAGGTTTCACAAAAAGCATCGTTGAATCCACAAATAAATATAGCATTTTCACAACACCGTTGGATTAATTACAGCACTATAACACAAGAATATAACTACGTAGCCCTCGTTTTCAAGCACGCAGCATGGATGATGAACGCGGCGGTCACGTTGGACGCCTGCCATGGCTTAAAGTGTGGAGTTCAGGAGACACTGTTTCGTATAGCGACTTTTTAGCGGGTCTGCCAGCCTTTTCCCGACCGACTAGTGAGCTACATCACTGCACAATAGATCACATCTCTCGCTACGAGGACAACTTAGCGACTACCTGGCATGAAATGCGTTACATAGTTACAAAGTGTACCTTAAAGCGTTGCAAGGCGTCTGGAGAAGCCTGCCGCTGTCGGTACAAGCTACTAGAATGCCAAGAAAGTGACGGCAAAATTGTATTAGAGCAAGGCGTACACATCATGGCTGAAGATGCGCCGCCTTCACCTACAACAGCTAAGCTAAATCCTGCAATGAAAGCCTATCTGGACACGAGGCTGGAAGACACACCTTCAATTGTGGCCCAAGCTTTGTACTCGTTTCTTTGTCGTGAGATAAGAGACCGGCGCATTATAGGGCCCGCTCCAGAGCTAGCCAAGG